GATCGAGCTGGTATTCGCCGAAATTTAAAAATTCGAAATTTTCAAAAAAGTATCAGGGGAGCATGACGATCGAGAAGGTATTCGTGGAAATTGAAAAATTCGAAATTTTCAAAAAAGTATCAGGGAAGCATGAAGATCGAGCTGGTATTCGCTGAAATTTAAAAATTCGAAATTTTCAAAAAAGTATCAGGGGAGCATGACGATCGAGGAGGTATTCGTGGAAATTGAAAAATTGGAAATTTTCAATAAAGTATCAGGGGAGCATGACGATCGAGGAGGTATTCATTGAAATTGAAAAATTCAAAATTTTTTATTGGAAATGGGATAGTTAAATTAATTAAAACACAGTTAATAAACTTTAATCACTTTTTATTTACTTTCTTTATTAAAAGGCACAAGGAAAAATAACGTTTGAACTCTATCAATATTTCCATGAGACTAAAGACAAAAGACCATAAGAACATTCGTCAACAAAGAAAGAGCTCATCAATGGTTTTTTGTGAAACCATTGTTTATGTATATACTAACTCTGAGGCAACTCCGTCGAGTCCTCCATATCGATTCATTTTTGTAATCAACATAAATCAGTTTAATATATTTCTATAAATATTTAACTTGATATTCTAACATTTTCAAAAAAGTATCAGGGGAGCATGAAGATCGAGGAGGTATTCGCTGAAATTTAAAAATTCGAAATTATCAAAAAAGTATAAGGGGAGCATGACGATCGAGGAGGTATTCACTGAAATGTGAAAATTCAAAATTTTCAAAAAAATATCAGGGGAACATGAAGAGCGAGGAGGTTTTCACTGAAATTGAAAAATTCGAAATTTTGAAAAAAGTATTAGGGGAGGATGAAAATCGAGGAGGTATTCATCCACAGCACCTAATGATAGGTAACCCTCAAGATAAGCTTCAAACTTAAGTAATGAATTCATGTAAGTCTTGAAAATTCAGACTTGCCTTTCCGTGAGATCTCCGAAGGGCGATAAAACACTAACATAAACTGGAATTAGGAGATTGTATCTGGTTATTATGATGAATAATATATCCCGGGAGTTTCAGAGGAACCTCGAAGAAATTTACGACTGGATGATGAATTTTTTATCGCTCTCGTTCTTCTGAAGGTTGAATTAACACTGGAATCACCGTTTTTAGAGGATTACGGATATGAACTGAAAGTCAAACGATAGTGCAAAAGAAAAACTGCCAAGTCGCCTGATTTTAATAGAATTCAGGTAAAAATTTGTCCTCAACTAGAGAGATCAAGAATAATAAAGAATTCAAAGGGTTGGCGGGGGATCTCACCCTAAAAACAATATAAATTATTTTGCCACGACGGATGGAATGAAGAGCCCCCATTTGTATCTCTGACAGACGAAAATGAAGCCCATTAAAACCTTCAGAACAGAGAGAATCGTTTAACCCCACCTTATCCCCAAAACACTTCGACAGTGAGGCTGTTAATGAAAGGGTAATGAGTGAGTTAATTGGATTCCAGGAGCGAGTGAATCCATAGTCTCAGGCTCGCCCCATTCGATGTCCCTGGAACACTGGACCGATGGATTTATACCATTCCCGGAGCACTTCATACAACAGTTGGAAATGCTCCAAACCGGCGAGAACAGCCCCACTGCTCTCCCGTCTTTTTTATTACTTTCCACTGTTCATGGAGACTGTATATACCACCGGGCAAAAAAAAAATAATGTATTTATGTATAACGTGGAAAATAATCCATGGCTTCATGGGATTATGATTTATCCCATTTTCCACAGTCGAATGGCCCACAGCTACATGTCAACCGTTTATTTCCGGCCCGAGTCATGGTGAACGCTTCTGATACGTTCTGCTCCGCAGTTTACTAATTATCTCATCGTGAAATTGTAATTCCGTGATCGTTCGTTGGGTAATTTCACGTGTTATTTCGACAACGAAATGCACATTTTTCAGTCTCGGGATAGGCAACATCGAAATACGAGGGAAAATGGCGAATCCACGAGTGCGTAGAGGACTCTCATGCTCTAATTAACGTAACTGCCAAACAGTACGATAAATGTTAATGAGTGACGGGGAGATTAATACATGATAATGCATTAGCAATGTGCACTCTGTGCAAGTGAAGTTTTTCCGTGTTTTCCGCAATTGGGGTATTGATAATCCATTTCCCTTTTAAATTAATGTTCGCTCCACCTCCCATTGTGGCTCCAAAATCGGCCACCGGCCACCGACCACCGGTCATCGGCCACTCGATACTACGTCTGTAAAAAAAATATACATATCAAGCAGTTGATTTGTTTATTTGCTTACAGAAGACTGTGATATTGAGTTTGAAATTTTAATATTGATATAGGAGGAATTTGAACAGGGGTGCGCCACAAGAACTGATGACTCAACTGAACGATAAACCGATAAGAAAAGGAATATACGATGTTTGTCGTGGCTTTGAGACAGCTCGAGCCCACCAAAGGAACTAAGACTAAGGGTCAAGATGTATACCACCGTTATATACATTATATCTTTGGAAAGTTGGCTGTGAGCGTCGAGAGAGTTGGCCAAGTCTAGAGAAAGGGTAAGGTCAAAGGCCCCATGGGTTTAACCCCAACTGGCAAACCCTGAAAAGCCCCTATCTACGGTGAAATGTTGAGCTTGGACCTGTGGAGAAGTACAGCAGACAGCCCCTCAACTATACAGAAATTTCACCTCTTCTGTTCCCTGTGACGCTGCACTTTGAAGCCATACGATAAGTCGATTGGCTTTCAGAATGTTTAATCTAGTTATCGCGTCATTTAATTATTCCATCAGCTGTAAATGTACTGAATTCCTATTGGAACTCCAAGCTACCTCATTTTCCTCTCTCATGTTATTCATTTGGCGAAATTCAGTGAATAAGAACTCGCATAAACAACTCACATGGACAATCCTTCATGCATATTTCACTTTGACGTCATGTTCATTCATTACAACTTCTCGGGGGTTCGTTCAATCTCATCAAAGCCGTTCACCAACTTCCCATCCAGCAATGGTATTACTCCAGCAGTAAATATTAGGATATTCGCATGTTGCAATTTTATTAGCAAACAAGTTACACGAAATTATTCAGGCAAATGCGCTAGTTTGTAATGAAATGAATTTTCCAAATATTCAGTCTCGTGAGCCCTCTATATTATTGGAGAAAATTTCCTGCACGTCATGGAAAATTCACCGCTTGGAGATAATTGATAATTGGTATATTGCCTGGATAAAATCCGAGGGGACATTTACGCGTAACACGTAGGCACTGGGGGACCATCACTTGGAGGGAGGAATTTCAAGCAGTTCAAGTCCGGATGAGATGCGAATAGAAGAGGGACAAACCATCGCAGTACAGACATTTCCCACGGGATATGCCGGTGAGCCCGGTGAGTCTTCCTCTGGGTTGTCACCTTGTTCCCATTTCCCTCGGTTTTGCCTGTCCTTACCCTCCTTATTCGCAAATCCTCTCCAAACTATCATTCGTCTTATTTCTTTTGCTCCAGAGGTATCTCGAGCGGTCGTCCTATTCAACTAGACGAACGATGTGGAAATCAATCTCAGCGACGAGAGCCACCACTTGGCGCCTCAATTTCGCGTTACCACCTGAAACCCCCCAGGGGCAGGGCTACACTTGCTGGTCCCTTTCAAACTCATTGGATTTAAGCTTTCAAATATAGAGTCGATCTGTTCAATCAATTGAGTGGGGGATTATTTCGACTCATTCAAATCCTCAGGAATTTAAAATTTCTCAATCGAAAGATCTTGTAAAAATGACGGATTTTTGTAAAAATCCCGAATTTCGATTCTCCATAGAAAATATCCTTGAGATGTCTCCAGCCACATTTTAGCCCATTAAAAAAGTCCTCTGTACAATAAGAAGTGAGAGATGAGCTCTTGAAAAGTTGAATATAAGGGAAGAAGTGAAGTAGAATGGAAAAGCGAATTCAATTTCTCAGTGGGACACGGGGAGAAAATAGAAGAAAAAAGGAGGGTTGAAGGAGGACCTCTCGAGGAGACGAGGAGTGCGAGTCCGGCGTTGTGAGGGAGTTCTGATGAATGGAGGTAGCGATAAGGCCTCCAACCATTCGTACACTGTCATCTCCCGCCAGAGTTGTCCCAGTATACTCGACTGTTTGTGATTGTTGATTCCAGTTCAAAGATGTATTACATCCATTGAATTCTTTATCGATGAAAAAAGACGCTCATGATCGACTCGAGCATTTGAATAACTCCATCGATTTTTTGACTTGCCATTCGCCCTATTCACTCCATTCACCTTGCTACAACTACAGGAGAGAATTTTCACATTCAATCGTCTTTTTCAGCGAAATTCCAATTAACAAAGACTATTGATCAGAAGAGAATTCTCACTGTATAATTCATTTGTACCATTTCCAGTTTACGGGAGACAATAATTTATATGAAAGTTCAATAGTCAAATTATATGATAGCTTGATGGAATTGCATTTGGAAATTTTTTATGATAATTGTTTAGCAGTGCAGCTTCACTGGAGTATTATCGTATCGGTGAATAAGTCCCAAGTGAATATTCCTATTACATCGATCTCAAATAAACTCGTTGGGTGAAGCTCACTCAAGGCCAAAAATGATAAATTGAACGAACCAATCCAAGCTTAACCACCGCGTGAGGTACCCGCAAAACAACGACGCTCAAGCTGCGAAATTATGAAAGTTTCCAGACTAATTGTGAAAGTTGGTGAGGGCGATGTACAAAATTGCTCCGTCAGAGGAGAACGAGGAAGAAACCGAAAATGAGAAGGATAAAATTTACCAAGCTCAACTTAAATATGGACAGTTTATTGCCTACCGATATGGTGAGTAAACAGCCCCTCCCCACCTGGAGAGATATTCTCGCCTTAATGATCATTGGAACTTATACTTGAATGTATGACCGATGAGGATATCAAACTGTCGAGTTACGCCCAAGTAAGTGCACAACTTTAAGAGTTTTCGCTCAACTATTTTCTCATCACGTCTCAGAAACTTTGTTGGCATCAACCATCAACTTAATCGACACTCGGTGCATTTTCTTCTTGAAACTGGAATTTATTTTCAATATTTTCCGAGAGCCCATCCGAGGACAAATTTTTTTCTACGTCAGTGAAAAATGAATTTTATAATTGCCTGGATACCTGAATAATGAGCTAATGATTCTCAATTAATCCGCAGGATGATTGGGGAGTGGAAATCGAACGACGAAATCCAGTGGATGAACTCGTCTGACCCCAGGGCACTCTGTACTGTTAATAATCATGAGTAATACGAGATTACTGGGACGTGGTTGGTGAACGTTTTGGAAAATAGATCCCTGGGTATTGAATTGGCTCGAATGTGCATTGTCCGAAATGATATGTGAATGGATGCCTCTAGTCTTGATGCATTTCGTCAGAGGTTATTGCGGTTTGGGTGGTAGATTATTTTAATGAAGTCGGGTACTTACACATGTGGTAGAGGACGACGTCCCCGTTGGTGACAGCATATTTCTGGAATGCACGATTCGTCGGAGCAAATACCGTGACCCCTCGATGCTCAATTGTACTTTTTGCTGCTTCGTTACTCTGGAGCAGATGGAAAAACTGAAAAAGAGAGTAATCATTAGTTGAGAGGAGATTAATGATATTTCAACGAGAAATTTAAATGATAGAATCGAAAATTTTCAATTGCCCGATGAATATTCAATGCGCTCGAATTATCGGGATTTAATAGAAAGGGGGTAAAAGGGCACCAGGGGGAGTGGACAAGTAAAGACTATCACTGGTGATAAAGAACGGGTAGTTCGATTTGCCTCCGATTATCAATGGGTCTCGGCCGAGGGGCAATAAAGTGGATCTATCTGGAATTGAACACACCCTTTGAATTCCACCGTGTACTCTCACTCGTGGATTTTTCACCATTTTTCCCTCCAGGTATTCCTTTTTATTCTCGAGCTACCTTTTTTTTTTCCACTGCCCGGTTACTTCTGATATCCTCCCGAGTGCCATCGAATCGGCGTTCCTCTTACAAAGAACAGCGAGAGGCGTGATAAAAGACAATAGGTTTCTCCTTTGCCCACTCAATTGGTATAAGAATCCAAAACAAAGGGGTTGTAAAAGATGAGATGGAGGTGAGAGGTGGCGAGAGGGTGTGCCTTTGGTGGAAGTACTTGAAAGGGATTTTTTTTTCTTTATTAAAAAAATAGAATGGTAATTAAAGAACCATCCCTGGCAAAGGCATTCTCCTGAGTTTCGAGTGTGAATTTCATGCCGATTCATTTGATAATTGTTTTGTTAAAAATTGAAATTCAATTACTGGTGTTTTTTTATTCCACTTGGATCAATCAGGAGAGAAATTTCTATCACCTCTGCATTTAACGTCAATTAAGTTTAAAAAGCAATATTAACGTTTATCACTCGCTTCGCACTGGGTCATGGAGAAAAAGTGTCAAATGATAGTTTTATCGTTGCAAGCCTCTCACAAATTACTTATTCCGTTCTTAAGCTCAACTCATTGTACGTTTTGAAACACCACGACGTTATCCTCCAACGGGAAAATAAATTCAGGGTACTCTCATACCTTTTATTCCCTCTTTTTTCTCCGGTTTTTCGACGTAACACTACCACTCGTTCTCTGGTGTGGCCTATTTATTCCCGCTTGCTTTTTCGCCCCGATGCATTAAGCGTGTCAGACCCCCTTTCCTCCTATCTTTCTCCACCAGTCTCTTGTTTTCTTCCCGTTTTTTTTTTATTTTTTCATTTTTTCCATTTTCCCTTTCTCTCGAGATGGTTTTTAGCCGACAACAGTCACCTCGTATCGCCCTAGTAACAATCATATTTTTTCATTATTTAATTATTCCTGAGAGTTTATGCTGTGTTAGAGTAAAAATTCCCATTTATTCCGAGCGTTGGATGAAAATAATCAAATCACCATTTCACCTAGTGAAATATTCATATTTTCATCGATCGACCTGATGCAATGAATAATTTTCCGACGGTTAAAAAATAAAATCTGACGTATTGACGTTTAGTAAGAGAGTCTATGGGGTGACCCCTGACAACTCGAGTGGCGTCTCCATAAACAGAATGGTACCCCAGTGGGACACTGAGTTTTTCCCGGGGTAAAAGGGGGAAAAATATTGTCGTACCTTTCAGTCTCCCCTTTCATCCTCGACCTATCTCACTCGCTTTTAGCCGCATTATTGGAGCCGTTATTGAATCTATCGTTGAGCCACTCTATTGTAAATTGATAGCTTCAGTGTTGTGTACAGATATAGCTTTTGAAAAGAGTGAGGAGAAAAGGGGGGAAACGACAATGAAGTGAGAAGGTCTGCTATGGAAAAAGGACCGATAACTCGTGGATTCTGGGGGGTGGGTGTGAGAATCGGAGATGGGGGATGGGGGATGGGGGATGAGCGAGGGTGAATGTAAGTACAGATCTTCCCTCTCCGTCTTGTAACTCTGGAGTATTTGTTGAGGTCGAGCAGTGAACCCGTCGAACCGCAGTAAAAGTCTCTATATTGAATACGTGTCTCAAATTTCAATATAAACCCACAGGACTATTCTGTATTCTTTGACTCACTCTGGCCCTCTTTATATATGAACCTTTACTGTCATCTCTACGATAACATCAGCTGCCACTACGGAGTTTTCACCTTCTATCCAGGTGAAGTCATCAAAAATTCAACGAGACCTTGACGCATCATTTTCTAATAATTTTCATTGGGAAGAGAATGATTTAAATAATAATTCCCTGAGAAAATTCTTTCAATTCCGCATCTGCATTTATTCTTCTCTTCACAATGCATTACAGGAAAATGCGACGAAAGTCAACATTAATTGCTCCTGGTCACGCCACCCACCCATTACTCAAGGTCACTATCAACCGTGGAAAAAAAATACACAAGACCAGATCATTTGTTATCTGCGTTCGTTAAGAAATAATTCATTAATTGCTTTGGCTTTTATTCTCCCCTCGTTTTAATTAATGTCGGGGGGACATTTTCGTGGAGCTTTTCGGTTTGAATTCAGCGTCATTTATTACTGGATAAATTGATAGGAATTTCCAGCGGAAGTCAATTCGCCCTGGATTTAAAATCGCCTGGGGCGAAATAGAATGAAAGGAACCAGGGGGCGAGAGAGTTTGATTTTCGTGAATTATGGGGCTTTATTTATATCACGGTTACGCGGAAATGAGGGAAATATTCAATGCGTTAAATATAAATTTAGGTGGAAGGGGCTCAGATGGTTAAGGGGTGGTGTTGTGTGAGGGGTGTTTTTCAAATGGTACGAGAGAGAGAAGGAGAGAGCATTAGGGGATGTAATTGCACGAGGCGTCACATCGAGTTATCCAACCCCTGGTGCTGGTGTGGGATAGAGTACATCTCATAGAATTTTTTATGAGGAAATTTTGTATTTCAACGCACAAGAGGGAAAAATTCTCCTTTCTCAACTGTCGTCCGAGAATTTTTTTCTCCCTTCGGGGTTGGGTATTTTTAGAGAAGGGATTAGCAACTGCTGAGAGGGATTTCTCCAGGGGAATTTTCCATTGACGCTTCAAAGATCTATTCTGACATTATAATCTCCTCTAAATTATTTACTGACATTTCCGGGACGTTTATTTACGGAATTTCTGAAATTTCGAAATGCCTAGAATTATATTTGAAGAGCGGTGGGATTACCTGTTCAACGTAAAAAAAGGAGAAATGCGTTTGAATAATTGAAAAATCCATTAAAATCACTGCGGTACCAGAAATGTTCGAAATAAAAATTGGATTGCATTGAATGATGCCATTTTCTAAGAGCACTCATCCCCTGATCCCGTTGACAACACTTCGGGGATGTTGATTCTCAAACACCCTCAGATCCCCTCGCAAGATGACGCATCCGGAGAAGTTTGGAGAAGCCAAATGCCCTGATATATAGCGCGAGCCCCGAGTTGAAGATAAGACGAATGGCCATTGTTGATCTAACCGAGTGACCAAAGAAATGGAAATTGCCGGCTTTTCAAGAGCCAACCGGTGGTGGTGGTGAATTGAAAAATCCGGACATTCCTTGTAACACACGCCCATTCACTTCTCCGTAATTTCAGCTGGGGTTCTCTCTCAAGAACCATTGATCAATGTTTCATGTCAAGTTTCTTGATCGTTACTTCCACTTGGGTTACTAAGACGAATGGCCGAGGAATAGATACCATTTTATTGCTAGTCATTTTAATTCATCACTGGCATTTTCTCGGAGGGAAATTGATATTCGGAATGGCCGGAATATATTTGTACCAATAGCTAATGTGGGATCAAATTTGGATTAACATTAATGAAATCCGGGGAGTTGAAGTTTTTCAAGTGTGAGGAATCGATTAATGTCGTCGGATACTTTTCCAACTATTAATTACCATCGCTCATTAGAGGGAATAGTGTTGGAAAGTTCATAAACCACAGTGTCCTATATATATCCACCAATAACTCAGGTGTTCGATTATTCGATATTCCACATTCCGTTAACCCCATTTTATTCCCGCAAATTCGATAATTAATCGGGGGATATAAATTGGATAAAAAAGGGGGATCGAAGCCTATGAAACCTTGCAATCATAAGTTTTCTCGGTTTCTTTCGTCGTTTGAGTCATCGTGGAAGTGTAAAATGGAGAAGATGAAGGAGTGGAGAAAGAGGAGAAAAATATTCTAGTGGACTTTGCGAAGAGTTTCTAACCAGAGCAGCAATCAAAGTCGCTCGATAAATCAAACCTCAGGCAAGTTTTAATTGGTAGAGGTCCAGATGTGGATAGAGTGGGCCAGGTGATGCTTTTCCAGTGGTACCCTCTGAAAAGTTGCACCAGTTACTCCTCTCAACGGTACTCTAACCTTCTTATTTCTCTCGATCTTGCTGATTCCCCTTTTCAGGCGGCTCTCAATTTTCAGTTGAGCAAACAATTTCACAATCAAACTTGGAAGCCAGGGACACGAGCAAAATAAAATACTTTTTTACTTCCCGGACACCGACGGATAAATTTGAATTTATTCTCCTGTCTATTAAAAATAAGAGCAACTACATCGGGGACAACTGTTTTGGTACGACACCGGCTGGGAAAAATTCCCTATTTTTTCATCATAAAAATGTCAAACATCCGGGGATGACGAAACTGCCGTCAACCCCTAATATTGGTAAAGGCTCGAGCGAGTGCTGTGAGGATAGGACCCAGAGGGGAAGAGGTAAAGGGAGGTGGCAGCATAAAAGCCCTAGAACCAGGTGGAGGTGGAAAGGTGAAAAGTTATCGAGTTTGCTAGAAGAGTGGAGGAGCACCAGAGTGCGAGCGATAAAGATGTCGCCAGAAAAATTCTCAAACCTATATAAATTCCCTCAACACTCGTTCCTCCTCTCTTATATAACTTTGAGTTGATGAACCCCCCGGGGCCACCCACCCCACTCCCAACGAGATACATTGCCATAAAAATACATTTATAAAGTTCTATCATTAATTGGTTATTCTTCCGTAACTTCTTGAAGAGAAAAAAAAAACGGTACGAGTTGATCCTGCAAGTTTGATATTTGAGGGAGTGCTCTATTCCGGTCTGAGGAACAACATTCAACAACATTCACCGAGT